ACCCAAATGCCACTTTCCAACTGAAAACCCGGAAGCACTTTCCAACCGAAAACCCGGAAGCAACCGAAAACCCAGAAGCAACCGAAAACCCGGAAGCGCCGTCGATACAAGATGGCGGCACCCAAGCTTTGCGGCCCGGTAAAGAATGATCCACGGACCAGTACCGGTCCAGGGACCGGTGGTTGGGGACCCCTGACCTACAAGGTCCCTTCCCACTCTGATTATCTGTTATCTGTGTCAGGCTGACAGATCTGCCAATCCCCACTAGATGGGGAAAAAGAGATGTTCCAACTCTTTGCTGCCACCTACTGGCCACCGTTCATGTTTGCAGATGAAATCTGGAAGCCTTGGTGGGAAATGCTGTGGCTTGTTAAAAAAACATGATAAGTCTGTCCACACAACCACGCAACCCTCCCCTCCCCAGGGAAAGACCCCACTCCAGCCCGCTTTCTGCTTAACTGCCTTGTGGCAATCCCAGTTTTAAGCAGCCTCACGTTCAATCTTGAATGTTTTCGTCTTGTGAACGTAGTCCGCCTTGTTAACGCAGGTGGCTCGCTGGCTGTAGTCCTTGTCCAAGTGAGCCTCTTCGGTCCACTCCAGGTAGCCTCTCCCAATGAGCTCGACCTTCAGCAGAGGGTCCACCAGCGTGCTGTGAAGGCTGAGAATCAGCTGCCCTTCCACGGTTGAGCCTGCCAAGTACACTTCCTTGGGTATCAGCAGCTCAATAGATTTCACCACCGACATGGGTGGGCATCGAGCACAGGAACTTGGCCCCTTCTAGGGGCCCTCAAGACCCCAGAAGGCTTGTCTTGGAGAGGATGGGCCTTGAATGAAGGAGCTTTGTGACATCAGCTCGTGATGCAGTGAAATTGGCTGCTGGACAGATATGAGGCAGTCTAGGTGGCAGGGGAATCCCTAAATATTTCTGGAGGTGGTCTCTTCTAGGCTTAGCCTCTGCCCATGGCGGCTCAAGTCTCACAGTTCTGGAATGTTCCACCAGCAGAATGTTCCAGCACTCTGGTGCGCCTCCTTTCTTCAAACATGGATTTGGATATATATATATATATATATTTACTAGCAGACCATATTTAATTGAAGAAAAAAAAATGATGGAGGAACCAACAACCCTCCCTTGTTTGTTAGGTCTTGGAGAGGAGACCACTTGGAGCTGGCTGGAGAATTCTGGGAGTTGAAGTCCACAAGGGTTAAAGTTGCCAAGTTTGGAGACCTCTGATTTAAAGATTCTTGACTGGGAAGACCTGGGAGTTGTGAAGATCACGTGAAGGGTCAGGGACCACTTTATAAGGCCTTGGTAAGAGCACGCTTTCAATGTTACATCCAGTGTTGATCACCGTGATATATATATATATATAAAAGATGTTGAGACTCTGGAAAGAGTGCAAAAAAAGCAACAAAAATTGATTAGGGCGCAGTGATGGAATCCAACCAGGGGAACAATCTGTTTGGTGAGTGTGTGCTTCGTGCGCGCACAGCGTTGGAAAACCTCCCAATTTCAGCTCTAAAACTTAACTTCTGCTGCAGCCCCGGTGAGAAAAACCGCTGAGGCACGGCAATCCGCCGTGCCGCGCGAATCAGATGAGCTATAAAACGCAGAAATATAGGACAGAGCAGGCAGGGGTGAGGCGTGGGTGGGGCCAACTAATTCCGGGAACAACTGGTTCACCTGAATCAGTGCAAACCAGCTGAATCACACCCCTGATTAGGGGACCGGAGGCTAAAACATAGGAAGAATGATTGCAGGAACTGGGTATGTCTAGTTCAGTGGAGGCTAACCTTTTGGGGCTCCTGTGCAAAAAATGGTGTGCGTGCTTGCGCTCGCATACCAGAACCCAGAAGGCAATGCGCGTGTAATCCCATGCCCCCTTACCTGCACTATGCCTGCCAACTGATTTTCGGCCGCGTGTCTCACAGGTGATTTTCGGCCTGTTTGAGGCCTTTTTCGGCCTCCCAGAGAGGCTTGAGGAAAGCTTCTGCAGCCTTTGCAGGCCGAAAAATGGGCCCGTTTCATCACTTCTGGTATTTCCATAAATACAGGAAGTGATGAAACGGGCCTATTTTTCGGCCTGCAAAGCCTCTGGGGGACCGAAAAAGGCCTCAAACAGGCCGAAAATCAGCTGTGAGACACGCGCATGCACAGTAAGGTAAGGTTGACTGCGGCTTGCATGCTGGCACAAATGGCTCTGCGTGCTACCTGTGGCACGCATGCCATAGGTTCCCCATCACAGGTCTAGTTTAATGAAAAGAAGGACTAAGGGAGACATGACAGCAGTCTTCCAATATTCAAAGGGCTGCCACAAAGAAGAAGGAGTCAAGCTATTCTCTAAAGCACTTCAAGGCAGGGCAAGAAACAATGGACGGAAACTGATCAAAGAGAGTGAGACAACCAACCTAGAAATAAGGAGAAATTTTTGACAGTGAGAATAATTAATCATGGAATGGTTTGCTCCATCACTGGAGGTTTTTAAGAAAAGATTGTGTAGAAAGTCAGCACTCATCCGCCTTCCTAGAGAATGAACTATTTTGGGGAATATTAAAAACGTAGGTCGGGGGGTTGGACTAGATGACCTACAAGGTCCCTTCCAACTCTGATTATCTGTTATCTGAAAATTGCTCCTAAAGGAGAAATGTGGGGAAAAATCTTAAAGGGGGCAGAAACCAGCACCAGTCTCTCTACCCCCAAGGAGAAATGGAGGAGGCCAGTTTTTAGAAATGCAGATTTGGTAATCCAGTTAAACCCAGTTAAACCCAGTTCAGAAAGACTGGGCCAGACAGAAACTCCAGATAAGCAACACAATTAGGCAAGACAAAGGTTGACAAGATTTAACTCAGACAAACATCTAGGATTTGCATTTTCCCCTTCTGCCTATAGAGCCAGCCGTGACCCCTTAGGAATCTTAGCCATTAGAATATTAAGGGACATATTTTTGTACAGGAACAGGAAGTTGAAATACAAAGGCCAAATTTTCTCACAGACCACCAGTGGTCTCCAGCCCACTGGTTGGTGACTAGAGTTTCCTTTTAACCCTAACTCAATTTAGCATACAGGTAGTCCTTGACTTACAATTTGTTTAGTGACCAGTTACATTGGCACTGGAAAGAGATTTATGACCGTTTTTTCTCACTTATGACCTTTGCAGGATCCCCATCAAAATTCAGATGCTTGGGAACTGACTCATATTTATGACGGTTGCAGTGTCCCAGGGTGATGTAATCCCCTTTTGCAACCTTCTGCCAAACAGTGTGGAAGCCTGATTCCTCAACAACCGTGTTCTTCACAACTGCGGTGATTCACTTAACTGTGGCAAGAAAGGTCATAAAACGGGGCAAAAAAACTCCCTTAACAGCTGTCTCGTTTAGCAATAAATGTTGGGCTCATAAGTCGTGGTCGTAAGTCAAGGACTTCCTGTATTGTATGAACGCAGAAACAAAATTTTTATCTGACCTGGCTGAGCATAATTGTCTGAATATAGCCAAGAGGTTCTGTGGATTAAGTTCTGGTTCTTAAAATGAATTATAACACTTCCAGCAATATCAAAAATCTTTTCTTTTTTTTTTGCAACCTGGCATCCCCCAGGTTTGTGAAAAGGCAAATTCTCTACTCCCCAGACTGGCTGTTGTGGATTATGGGACCTCATGTCCAAGAGATACTTGAGAAAAGGTGGCCTAAGCATGCTTTAATGTTAATTTTTAACAAAAGATTGCTAATTCATTTTTTAACATTCTGTCTAGGCAGAGGAGAAGTTGATGCCCAGGGATAGGCTTGGCAATGACAGTGCTTCCAGCTTTCGAGAACAAGAGTGCCTCTGAGCATACCACGAGTTGACACACCCCAGGAAATGAGGAATTTCCCCCCCCCTCCCCAGAATGGAAAGACAAAACGAGAACAGGACTACCCAAAGATTTCGACCCCAATCCCCAAGGATTACAATTCCGAAAATAAAATAAATAAAATAAAATAAAATAAAATAAAATAAAATCAGCACTTTCGCGCCTGCGCAGTCAGGCGCGACCCTCAGAAACGCGGAAGGGGGAACAGGCCGGCGAAGGCCTTCCCCTCCTTAAGCCCCGCCCCTTTTCTCAGATTCCCGCCACCGCCGACCAATCAGGAGGCTCCGATCGGCGCCGGGCGAATTTCCCCGCCAAACTCCAAAGCCGGGAGTTGTTAAAAAAAAAAAGAGAGAGAGAAAAATCAGATTTTTCTTTTTTTTTGGCGCGGCTGCCGCGCTCCCTGCTCCTTTGCAGCTCCGTTGCATAGAAAACGCGGGCTCTTTTCCCGTGCAAAATTTAAAATTAAATAAGTTGGAAGTCTGCATTGCTTAAGATTGGAACGGACCGATTGCAAGTTTTGCTCTTTTATTTTTATTTTTTTGCACACTCACACACACAGAAAAAGGCGCCAACCTTTGAATCTGGCCAGAAGAGGATCCTGGGGGAAAGAGGTGTAAAGAAAGATCCGTTTGGCACAGTGAGTATTTTTCTAAAAGTCCTTCCAAGGCTGCAACGAACCCCCCCACAAAAAATGCTTGCGGGGTGAGGTTTGACTTAATCTCGGGTGTTTGCATGTGGAAATGGGGGCATCTGGGTTCCTGGTGGTGGGAATGCCCCCCCCCCCCCGTTTCCCCTTGATCGTACAGATATTTGCCAAGATGCGTTTTTTAAAAAACCCTGCAAGGTCTGGGCTACTTCTTGACCTGCGTGTTGTCCCAACTGCAAGCTGCGAGAGGTGGCTGGTTGGGTGTGCAAAAATTACTCCTCCTAAAGGAAACAAGAGTTGAGGTCCGGATTTAGGTAGGTGTAGATCCAGCTTTTCCATTTGCCTCCTCACTTGTGCAATCAAAGGCATCCCTGCTCATAAGCAAACCCCGTTGCAATCAGTGGACCAGGTAATTCCCAGGTAAGTTTGTCTCTAAAATTATAAGTTATTTGAAACATTTCAAACAAATGATAGGTTTGCCTTGCGAAAACATTTGCAACTCCCCAAACTGGAAATTTTTGGATATGTAGTGTTAGACCAGGTCAATTAAGGGCTTTCTGTATTTACTTTTTACTTTACTTTACTTTACTTTACTTTACTTTACTTTACTTTACTTTACTTTACTACTTTACTTTACTTTACTTTACTTTACTTTACTTTACTTTACTTTACTTTACTTTACTTTACTTTACTTTACTTCTTTACTTTACTTTACTTTACTTTACTTTACTTTACTTTACTTACTTTAATTATTTATTTTATTTTATTTTTGTTATGAGTTTATTTTTGTTTCGTTTTATTTTATTTTATTATTTAAATTTATTTTATTTTCATTTATTATTCAAATTTATTATGTTATTTTATTTATTTAAATTTATTAAAGTTATTATTTTATTTATTTAAATTTATTATTTAAATTTATTTTATTTTTATTTTATGTTTTATTTGTTTCGTTTTATTCATTTTACATTTTACCTTCGATTTCTTTCTCATTTCATTCTATTTTATTTATTTTCCTTCATTTCCTTTTGTATCTTCCTTTCCTTTTTTTATTTTTTATTTTTTCATTCCATTTTTATTGCCGCCCAATTCAACCGAGTGACTCTGGGTGGCGTACAGTTCTACAACCGCCACACAATTAAAACGGTGGAAAAGACCAGAAAACTATTAAAACAAACAAAAACAAACCACCCACAAAATAAATAAGGATCAACAGCAGCAGTGTGTGTGTGTGTGTATGTGTGACTGT